ATGAACCCTTCGGGGAATAGCTTTCTAGGTAGGAATTTCGACCCTCCGACTTGATCTCTGAATTTACAATTTTCAGCCTAGTAATTCGTGTAAGTAAAATGGAACAGTCGGCCTTTTTTCGTGTCACCATGTCGGTCGTTCTGGTTAAACAGCTTGCCGCCGTGCCTGGCCTCACCGTTTTTTGAACTGAAGCTGAACCGTTAGCCGTGGCAACGCCTCAAGTCTTGAGACTGGGAAACATCCTTTTCACTGATGCTCGAGCGATTGTCCAGCAGGTGACAGCGCATCTCTCATGATCTTACAGGTATCGGGACATGCTTGCAGGTATGGTGTCTTCTTCCTGTTTATGGTCGTTGGTGAGGTTCAATTGTGCATTAATTCGAGGGTTGACCACTCAAGCCGTCCAGAGGGTTGTGACCTGACAGCAGAGGGCCTTTGAGCCTGATCACGACATTTTGCATGCGTTTGTGGATGCATCAATTTTCATCAACTAGTTCCCCACTGCTCCCCTACCTCATGCGTGCTCCCTCTCTAGACTCTAGGTCAGGTTTTGGGTCCTTCGTGTGCCGGGGTAGGTTTTGGCTCTCGCCTTGTAGGTTGTGTCAGGCGCTTCTATCCGCCCCCTCCTCTGGTCGGTGTTTGCCCCGTCATCCGTCCTTGCCCTTTCAGGGTTTGCCCGCTCTGGGCTAGGTGTGTTGGTGTTGGTGGTTTCCCTTTCTCCTCTCCTCTTTTGCGTTCCCCGTCCCGTGTCCCGGTTAAGTAGCTGTCATCTCATTTCCATCGTCATCTCATTTCAATTTCCCTTTCATCTTCACCTTCATCTCATTTGTCGGAGCCTTAAAAAGCCCCGCTGCTGCGGGGCGTGTGTGTGAACCATCTGAAGAGATGTAAAATTAGCGAATGGACTCTTATTATTTATCAATGCAGGGGGTGGAGAGGACATATGAGGCTCCATCCAACGAAGCTCTCCATATGATCCTAGGATATCACCAGGGACGCCTGGTGACGTACCTGCAAAACCATTTCAGTTTTCTCGTCAATGGCAACCGGCTAAGCCAAGAACCGGCATGTCGATTTTCAAACAGCTTTTTCAAACCAAACTGAAACATTTTGATTTCGATTCTGGTTAAACTGTAAGTAAAATGGAACAGTCGGCCTTTTTTCGTGTCTCACCATGTCGGTCGTTCTGGTTAAACAGCTTGCCGCCGTGCCTGGCCTCACCGTTTTTGACTGTGTGTGGGTGTGTGCGTGCGTGCATGACTATGTGATACGAAACAGTTTGCATACACTACATGAATGCCACAGCTCCCGAGGTCGCTGCCCCTGCGGCGACCACTTGGGCAGAGCAGGATCTGCAGGGTAGACCTCTGGATAAGACTTATCCCCAAACTGGTAGACTACCTTGGGATAAGTGGGCTTAGACTCGTGGTAGTTAATATTTCATTTTTGCAGTCTATCAGTGGGATTCTTCTACGTTGCTAGTTTTTGTATATGATGTTTTTTTTTTTTTCCGGTCATGAATTATTTTGGGCTATTATTGTCGTATTATGTTTGGGGATGGGCGAAGCCCTGGCCCGGGCGAGTTGAAGCGGAAATGATGATCAACCATGGTATATTATATAAAATGATATAGCTACAGTTATAATGGATGTTAATGGGGTTTACAAACTAACTTATAACTGGGGAGCGCCATCTTGTGGGATGGAACGGAGTATCCCGTTTTTGGATAAACCCAAGTGAAGGTTCTACCCGATCTACAAAGAAAATGATATGTTGCAACGCAGCTGAAAACTCTGTGCAGAGCCGGCATAGAGCTGCAAAACTGATGTTTGTGTATGACTGACTAGTTGCACTTGATCCCTGTGTTCAGCTGTGGGTCTTGGCTCGTGAAATACAGCTTCAGGGTTTCTGGTATGAAAGGAATGGGTTCGCTTGGCTCGGGAATTGCGGAAAAGTTGATCCTTTTTTCACCAATGGATACACAGTTAGAGGTGCGGGCTCTGGAAGTGGCCTTTTCAAGCAGAAACTTGCAGAACCAGGAGTGAATTTGTAGTGCATGACCTGGGTTTTCTCTAGCCATGGGTCAGACTTTGTGGCCCTGGGGTTCTCCTGTATGGTTCCGCCATCGCAGGAGAATGGACCAACACAGCAAGCGCTGCAGACACCACAGCCCCTCCATCTGGAAGAAGTTCTGGATGAGCCGGCGTCTCAAACCACCATAAGTGGTGGATGGTTTTACATCGAATTTACCTTCTGGATCCCCCTGGTATTCAAACGTGGCTGCCTGGGAAATGCCCTGTAAATGGAGGCTTTATATGGCTTTATGGGAAATCATCTGTGCACATCTGGGAAATTTCCATTGCCGTGCTGGATCAACGGAGGGTATATGAATCTTCCCTTGTTTTTTTTCCATTTTTTCCCTTCCATTTTCGGATGACGATCCGCAATAGCCAAAAATTGAGGTGTTGGTGAGCCTCAATGGATGTCAATGCAGGACTTCTGTGGAGCCGCGTGGATATCTTCCATTGGAAATCGGCTGGTCAAGTCTTGGCTCATCTTGGCTGCTTCAACCATAGAAAAAGGATGAACATGGGGGACATCGGCCTTTGGGGGCCCTTGAAACCCACTAATTAGATCTAATTAGTCATCCCAACTTGTCGCATTTCCAGGAGACAACCGTGGCAAGCTATGTGCAGATTTTGAAGGCGTGTGGCTTAGTTCTGGCGGGACGGCCTGCTGAGTCCCAAGGACTCCGGGACGTTCACGATCGTTCACGGCTTCAGCTGTGCGCAGTGCTGTGGTTTGAAAAGGGATGGATGGGAGGGATCTACGCGTTTTTTTGAAACCTGGGTTTATTACTGTTACTGTAATATCTGTATATATCTGTTAATGATTGGGTTTAGCATCTTGCCTCAGCGAGAGGGAAACAAACAGGTTCCACAGGTATTCCACATGACACAGGGAAACGGCAATGTTTTCAAAGGTAAGTCACCGATAATCCGATAATCATTACCGAGTCTTGGTGAACAGTGCTCCCTTCTTCATTAGCAAATGCATCAAATGCCAAGCGGTCCACCGTCCACAGTCATCCAGCCTAAAGGACTTGAAAAGAGCCATGTGAATATACCCCATTTGCATGCTATATGTTGAGCAGATGAAGCAGATGTCTTAAACTAAACCTATTGTTTGTTGCACTTTCACTTGCTGGAACACCAACTTTTGCCTTCGCAACTTTCAGAGGGCGTGCTTTTCTTGCAAAGCACATGTGTTTTCTTTGGATTCGCAGCGCTTGTCGGCTTACATGAATGTCACAATTGGCCAATATGGGCCAGCTTCGAACTTAATCCTCCTCATGACTCATGAATTCCAAGGAGGCTTATGCCAAAATTTGGCAGAAAGGGCTGCGGAAAAACAGCACATCCGGAACAACTCCAAGGTCCTCATAGCTGCTGCCTCTGCAAGGCTACACCACATCAGCAACCACAGCAGGGACACAGAGCCAACCGAGTTTTTGATAGCCAGATGCTAATTGCATAGGGTTGCCGCAATGTCACTTGATTGCGGAGGCTCAGGGTTTCTTGAGGTCTGAAGGATTGAATCGGCTGAAGTTTTGTGATTGATATGCAGATGGGTCAACGCCTTTTACTCTGGTGAACATCAACATAGCTGGAGTTAAGTTATGGATGTTCATTTCTCCAACTATTATGGAACATGATGTGGGACACCCAACAATAAACCATAAGAAACCTACCATTTGGATCCATTTAGGGATGGTAAACACAGCACCCATGTAAGTCTTGATCCCAAAGGCCAGCAATTTGCACAAGGTGAGGCCCCCTTAGACATGTTGGTGTATATAAAATATATAAACCCATGAATACCATAGGTAGATCTACCATAAACCATAGTAAATCTAGTTATAAATCCATTGTAATACTGTTATTTCCCCCTAATCAACTCCTTCACCAAGCACAAATCCATAGCCGCAGATTGGGGTGGTACTGCACGCCAGGCTTATGGGCGACGTCGTTGACGTCCCCGCAGAGAAGTCTAAGGTCACATGTCCTGTTCACATTTCTCAGCAAAAACGCAAGGAACATGGGCCGTTTCTACGCCAGTAAGTAGCAAGACTAGTTAATGAATAATATTAATAATATTAAGCAATACATAGGAACTAACCGACAATTGGCAGTGTGGAAAGTATAAGTAGTCTTGACACTGTTAAAAATAAAACGGTTTCTGCTCCTGATGCCGTTCCCCACTTCGTGCCACTCTACCAACTGATCCGCTGAGGGATTTGAAGGGCAGACAGCAGGAGCCAGGCAGGCCTAAATGGTACAATGCATGGGTTTCAGGGGAAAAAAAACAGGACACCCATGGGCACTTGATGGGAAAAACCATTGGGAAAAACCATGCTTTCCATTGAAGATTTTCCCTGAAACTGATCCTTGCAATGATACTTCAGCCTGAAACTATGTTCCAAATAAACATGTGAAATAGGTCAGAAGCTAAACATCGCATTGTAAAATATATCACCTTCCTCAGGGCTAGATTCTGACGTTTCGAGTTTCAGTTTATGGTCTGAGACGCTGTGAAAGTTGAGGGTTAAGGAGTCCATCATGATGGCTTTCCACCAGCGCCTCACTTGACGGGCATTGATCACAGGCTCTACCAAAAGATTGTCATCACCGGTCAAGCAGACTGGAAGGAGGCGTGCTGTGATCTGCAATGTTCGTGCTTTCGGACGCTTCGATTTGGTTCCTAATCCATTCCAAGATTTTGGGGTTGGGGCCATCAACCCTGGGGTTATCCTGTCTCCTTTCCATATTTTTTTTTGCTGTATCATGTCAGTTCGCTTTGAAGACGGGAAGCTTGAGCTATGTGGCATTTGGCTCAGGGGCCATAACTTGCCCAGTTGCTTCCTTTTGATGTGGCACGACTTACAAAACAGGGTGGGATCCGTGGGGCCCCTCAGGCGGCATTCATCGTGGGGGTGAATCATGGCCGAAGACGAGGTGGTCCGCGATTTCAAGAAACAGCTGAGCCGCGGCTCTTCTCACCTGGGGCGCTTGGCCGTCTTGGCAACAGAAGCAGCAGGCTCACAGCCACTGCGCAGCACTAGCTTTCCGGACCTCAGAGGTGACTTGGATTTGCCGAAGTTTTTTTTAAAGCAAAAAGTAGTAATTTTAGAGAATCTATGAATCCACTAGCGATATCCAGGAATATCTTTAATACTCTTCAATTTTTTTACGGCCAAAAACGCGAAGCCAAGGTGAGTTGCTGTTCCCGGAGCTGGGCAGGGCTGGGGATATCGCCCAGCCTGGTGGCTTTCGTCGCGAGCACATCTTGCGGCTGGCTCCCAATCCTGCAGCTGAGCAGCCGCTGCTAAGCACGCTGCTGGATCCAAGGTTGCTGCGCTACTTTTCCAAAACCGAGCTTGAAAGTGACTTGGATGCTTTCCACTCGGACCCTTTTATGGATTTTATGGATGATTTTCAAGTCTGGTTAAATGGGATAGGATGAATGGGATTGGGATGATCGAATTTTGCTGGTTTCAAGTGTTTGTTATTTCAACACCTTTCCAACCCTGAAATGGGAGGATGATCATAGCTGACATTCATATTTTGACCAGGTGAAACTTCAACCGTCCTCGAACCTCCCGGAGCCTCAGATCTCTCGACGGTCCTGGTGATTTTGAAGTCCACAGTTGGTGGCACTTTGATCATCATCCCAGGTGCTTTCTCAACCACTGGGCTTCTGCTGGCACCCTTAGTTTTGCTCTTCGTTGGTGGAGTTGAAATCTACTGCATGGTCTTGCTGGTGAAGTGTGTGCGCTCACTGGGACGTGGCTCCTATGGCGAGATTGCACATAGATCCATTGGGGCTGCAGGGATGTGGGCGGTGGATTTGAGTATCCTCCTGTCACAAATCGGCTTTGTTTGTTCAGAAATGCTATACGTGGCCAAGAATTGCGCTGGAGCCATTTCAGCTTATGGCGTGGAGTCGCCATGGTTCTCCGAGACCAGCATTTTGTTGCTGCAATTGCTGGTGGCTATACCCATGAGCTGGATACAGAAGCTCAAGTACTTTCAGGTGCTAAAAAAATGGGCCCAAATGTTGGCCAAAGGTCATTAAAATAACAAGTTGTATATTGACTCAAGAAGGTTTCCCAATGGCCTGGGTCATGTCTCGATACTGAACAGGATCCTGTATCCCCTTGTCAGGTGTCAAACATTATTGCCAATACGACGGTCCTGCTTGCTTTAGCCATTCTCTTGGGCTACTCTTTCAGTGGTTTGGTGACTGAGGGACCTGGAGTTGGTCTGCAATCAGTAGGTCCCGATTGGATGATCTTCGCTGGCAACGTGGTTTTTTCCTTTGAGTGCATCAATTTCGTAATTCCAATGTATGACGCACATGAAAAGAAGGAGACCTTTGCACCCATCTTGGCCTACACCTTGCTGGCTGTTTGTGCTCTGTTCATCATCTTTGGTGGAGTTAACTATGCCTTCTATGGAATAGAAACACGTCCGTTCGTGACCTTAAACCTCCCGAGCAACTCCAGAGTTGGAAAGATCATCCCCTTCGCATTTGCGCTGGCTTCGCTGTTCAATGTGCCACTCTTTCTTTTTCCTGCGGCCATCTACTTGGAATCGCAGTTCTTCAATGGGCCAGCCTCTTGCGCCAGAACCTGGAAGATCAATGGCATGAGGACCATTCTGATCTTGATTTGTACCTTCATTGCCTTTTTGGGCAAGGACAAGATTGGTGCCTTCATTGCTTTCATCGGCTCCTTCTGCTGTGTCCCCCTGGCCTTCATCTTTCCCGTGATTTGCCACGCGAAGATCTGCCAGCCCTCGCGGCAGATGCTGGCGGTGAATGGGGCGGTGCTGCTCTTGGGGCTGGTCTTATTCGTCTACACCTCCTTCAGTGCCATCAAGGAGCTTAGCAAAATTGGATGAATGGCCGCCTCAGAAGCCGAAGCGGGACCTGGCACCTGTTCAGGGCCTAGCGATGTAGGAACAGTGAACTTCCAACTCCCTCAAGGCTGATTGTGCCGGAGGGAGAAACTGCACACTCCACTGTACAGGAGGAAAAAGAGCCGATCGCCAACTTGTGCGATGTGGTATGGGGGCAGGAGAATATGTCACCATCTTCATTCTCCCAGAATTGGTTAGAGGCAAAACCTTTAGGAATTCGGAAAGCACCATCTCTACTATACAGCTTGTTACCACCGAGTTTTCTTTTTAAGACCTCGGAGATTTTCCTAGGGATTTTCGCGCCAAACCAGTGGCCCAGTGGCTCTATCAATCCCCGACCAGCCCTTGCCATTCCTGCCGTTGCTATTGAGGTTGATCTCCACTTCGCCCTTGCTGGTGGGCCTTAGCCTGGTGTTAGCGCCTCAGGGATGCCGGTGTCACCATGTTTCAGGCAAATCCCGAGGACGCCATAGTTGTCTTTATTGAATTCTGGCGTCCATCAGGGCTTCGAACCCTCTGAAAGGCTCAGCCTGTCAGAATAAGTATATTATAATATTATATATATATGTATGTATATATATGTGTATGTATATATATATATGTATATATATATATATATATGTACATAAATATATATACATAAGTATATCAATAAGTATATATATATAAGTTTTATGATATTATAATATATATATATATAGACGTATGATAGGGATAGACATGTGTCAGTTCAGAATCATCCAGGCTTGTCCTGCTCTTTTGTTCGGCCAGGAATGCGCCGCGGCACCGCACTCGGTGGAAGAGTGTGCCACTCAGGGCCCGAGAAGCCGATACGTGGTAAACCCAATGCCAATAAACCTACCATTTGGGGATGGTGTTTACAACCCATTTATGATGGGTTTATTATGGGTAGTTGGCATAGTTTATTAATATCTATTAGTAAATGATCATAAATGTTTAATAACCATTTGGGGATGATGATTTTGGGGATAGTTTATTATGAATTAGGTTTGCCACATTAGTAATTTGTAGCTTTATTGCGGAGCTTGATTGATGTTTTTCCCCATGATTTTCCAGGTTTCCGTAACTTTCCGTTCTCGACCTTTGGGGGGTTAACAACATTAGTAATTTATGACTCTTCGTAACGTTAACCATTTCGATGTTGCTATATATATATGCTACATACTGATAAATAGTAACCGTTAGTAACCTTAACATCCTTAACCGTTTCAATGTTGCTATAGTAGTATTGTATCACAATTTATCACAACCACCCAGGTTGTTGTTTTGGTAACTTACCAGGCTACTTACTCATTGTGATAAACTAGTCTAGTCTAGTTATTAATGCCAGGCCTGTTTATCACTTAAAGAAATACTATGACCATGACCATGACCAGGACCATGACTATGACTACTCTTTATCTCTGTTACATAATATCACTATTACTATTACTATAAAATTTATCACCACAAAAAAAAGGGTGATAGTCATAGAGTAGTCTCACAACAGTTGATCTATAGTCATTAATATCACGATTATCTCATTGACTATAGATCAATAATATAGTAATCAGTAATAATATAGTTGATCACTACAGTCAACTATTCTCTCATTGACAATTCATCTACAGTTGATCTCATTAATATCACCATTTATAACATTTTTTTTTGGGATCCAACGTTCCCCCCCAAAAAGACTTGTCTCCCAGGCCAGAGAGGCGATACGGCAGTGGAGGCCATCAGTCGTGGTAAACCCAATAGATTATTAGCACTACATTAGCGGTACTATTGTTATTGCAATAGGATTATATCAATGTTTATATAGTATATACAGTATAAAGCGGTATAATATAGTATATGATATATGTGTATGTGTGTGTGTGCGTTTGCATGATATTACATTGCTCCATAGCTTCATATTTCCATCTAGTGTATTTCATGCGGCAGGCTGTTGGTCTTGTGAAGTTTAAACGAGCTTGAGATATAGCACCGAGATACCGTGATATGAGTGTGTTTGAACATGATGTACATCACCAACATGGCTATGTTCATAGGAAAAGCGTTGATTCACCAATGAATTTAAGGGTAACCTATTTTCAGACAAATCCATGGCTGGTGGTTTCAAAATCCAATTCTAACATTGAATACAACCAAAAGGCAGCCCAAATGAATAGAGCCAATACCCAATACTGTATGGGTTTGTCCAAAAGTAGGGGATACCCTCCTTCCTCCAATAGTTTCCACTCAAGACCAGATGGAAAATCTATCCTCCAGTAAATTGGCATAGATATTGACAAAAAGGACAACCCACTTGTAGATAGTTTTGTTTGGGAAACCATGGGGTTTCCATATCTATGTTCATTTGCTGGAGGATAATGTAAATGTGCGTAATGTGCGTATGTGCACACACACACACATATATATAGAGCAAGCCCAGAAATAGATGGAACAGTTGAACACCTGCGAATTAGTAGATGAATATCATGTGTATCATCTTGAAAAGCACTTTATATGTATATTTTTTTTGGGGGGTACCCATATGTAGGTATAGATATGCACACACACACACACATATATATGGTGATCGATCTAAAGGTCCTTGTAAGGAGTTTTAATTGCGAAAACCGTGCATGTTATGTTGGAAACCCTCGCGAAAGTTTTTTTGAGTTCGCGAAAGTAAAATTTTGTTTCGCGAAAGTTTCGCGAAAGTTGGGCATTATAATCATTATATGTAAAGGGCTGCCACCCACTGCCGCCCGGGGTCCGGCAGGAGAAGGGCACCAGAGAATGCGAGTAGCAGTAGCCAAGTTTCCAAAAGTGAGGCTTTGCGAGAGCCAAACACCAAGGCCCCTGGTCTTCGCTTTTCCTTCAGTGCACCCCCTGCTGATGGCCGGGGTCTGTGAATATAGGGATATTTTCGCGAAAGTTCCGCGAAAGTTATGCGAAAGAGCGGGCGAAAGTCAAAGTGCATGTTGAAGGGGGGCCAGTAAACTTTGCAAAAAAAATCTGTCCTGAGAAGGGATTCCGTGATGCTAGCTGCATGTTTAAAAGGCTACCAAGAAGTGATCCGTGATTCTCTGGCGTAATTTGGCAGGTGGTGAACGAATCTTCATAAGAGGTGTTGTTGGCCAACATGGGCCCCGCGAAGGATAAACATGGAGTTCGCGAAAGTAGAATGGCCGTTCCGCGATAAAGGAATTTTGATCAACAACCATATATATATATATATATACACACGGCATGTATACAGACATACACACACCGGTAACATATACGCACCATTCCCATGATCACAAGTCAATCGCCCCGCCGCAGGTGAAGCCAGACGTAGAACTCGCTCCGGCAGATGCGGCGCCCGAGGCCATGGGGTCTACCCACGGTGACCCAAATCCGAAAGCGGCTCCCTGCAGGCGTGGCTCTTCGAGATGTCACGTGGGGAGTATTTGCGGAAGAGCGGCCTGGGCATGCTTGGGACATCTTGGGACATTCAGAGCATGTGCGGAGGGATGCGGAGGGATCGATTTGTAGTCCAAAAATATGGAAATACCACAGGAACACCATGGGATGCATGTATTCAGCAGTTTGTGATTCGGGTTACGGGTTCGTCCGAGAAGGCTTTTGTGATATTACCTGGAATCTATTTCAGTTATTAGCGGGAACATCCTCCATCAATGGCACCAACAAAGTTATATGGGTTTATATGCAGCTATTGAATCATTGAATGAGGATATATATTATTGTATTAATTATATATATATATCCTCATTCAATGATTCAATGGCTATATACAATAGGGACATAGTGGGATGTACAACCAAGAAATGGGGGGGTGGACCACAACATATAGCCATTTGAATCGCGGACCATGTTCGGCCCAATGGCATGTCCGCTTGGTTGAAGATGCTGAATGGCTCAGTGATAACCGTGGCATGTCCGCGACAATTTGGATTCTACTCCACAGGCATTCACAGCCACCAACAATTGGCAATACTTAGCCAGCAACAACGAGGGTATATTTTGAGATCGCGTTCATTTGCACAGTAAATTTCCGGCTCCAAGCTGGCAACTGGTGCGTCATGATGCGCCGTCACAAACCACATGGACAGCACCTGCGCCCATGTGAGACTGTCAGAGCAGGCATGTAGAACTTCTGAAGTAGCTCACCGAACCTGATTGCTGGCATCACATCAGATCACTCAGATTTAGTCACAACTAATGTCAGCCCTGGCCCTGGATCAATTTTTTCCCAGTTCACCATTCCGGAGGTTACCCTCAAAATACTGCAGTATTCAGATTGGTACCTCCCGTTTTTACTAAACTGGCGATTCAGCATGGGTTAACATTCCTACTTGACGCTCGTGCGATGCCACCCAGATGCCAACGCACGGTGCTCAGCTTGTGGCCACAAACCGGCCATTTTCCATACTTATGTTGGATCACCACAGGGCACCCCCAAACCCCATGATATGAACTTGTCAATCTCGGTTAGAGGAAATTATTGATTGATGGAGGGTATCAAATATGATCAAAAGTCGGGGGGTGCCAAATCCTTAGTGCAAACTCCATTTTTCACATGCTTTGGGAAATTCGGGATGGGGGTATACCCTATACAATATACCATACCCTCCTCCCAATATTTGTGATCAAACAATCATTGATCCCTCGCAGGTTGTGACGGCAAGCTGGGCTTCATTCGTGGCATTCGTGGCTTTGGCATTTACGCCCGTGCGCACGAACGACGCTGCGCTCCTCAGGCGGCTCAGGCAGGCGAATTCTTGGGATGGACAATGAGAGGCTGAGCGCTGTGCAAGGGCTTGAGTCTGGTCGTTGATCAACTCTTGATTCGTCTTGAATTTTATGTACCAAAGCACTGGGTTGCACGGAACGCCGGCCATGATGTTCAAGAGCTGTGGGCCAACATCCATTAAACTATGGGAAACAAATGTAAGTTCCAAGACACTTGCCACTTCAAAATTATTCGACCTCTATCGCAAGACCCCTTGTATAAACCCCATTATCTAAATTTCCATGAAATCCCACTAAGTCACCATAAAATCAGATGAAATCACTATAAAATCCCACATGCAACAACTGTTTTTGTTGGTTAATCCCTTTTTCGCGGAAAACGGACGAAACCGGTGACCCAACTGGACGTCGTCCCGGACGTCGTCCAACCGGCTGTCCCAAACTCGACCATGTCTGGCGACGGCACGATGCTAGAGAACTGCTGGGCATCCTTGGTGATTGCACTGCTGGAGAAGGACCACAGAAAAATGTGGATAAAACAATGCCATGTTTACCACCCATTTTTGGGAATGGTAACCATATAATGTAGGCTGCCTAATAGTAAATCCCCCCCCCTAAATAAAATAATTATTTTAACAAATTTAGGGGGGGGTCAGCATTCCAATAGTAAATTTTTGGAACCTTATAGCTGGGATCATGGAAGTGGGGGCAGAGGTGGTGGAGGCGAAGGAGGAGGACGAGGAGGAGGAGGAGGAGGAGAATAAGGAGAAGAAGGAGAAGGAGAAGGAGAAGGAGGACAACAAAATTGGAGTTGCGGAAAAAAAATTCCACTATTGCCATGCCTGGTGCAGGTTTGTTATTGCTATAAAGGGGGTACCCTTTGTGGACCTGTTTTCTTGCTTTTTTAAATAAGGGTTTTATAAGGAAATCAGCTGTTTGGTAATTGGATCAGATTTCTGGAATCTAAGCTTTTGCTAATCAAAAGTGAAGGCTGCTTTGAAAAGGATTTGCTTTACTTGACTCTTTTGGCAATACTAAAAGTAAATGGAGCTAATTGACTTTTAGTATTGGAGAAAAAATTGGAGTTGGGAGAAAAAAGTTTCCACTATTGCCATGTTGGGTCCACTATTGGCCATGCCCTCTGGACAAGGTCTGAACATGACTCTTTTGGCAATACTAAAAGTAAATGGAGCTAATTGACTTTTAGTATTGGAGAAAAATTGGAGTTGCGGAAAAATGTTTCTACTATTGGCAAGATATCACTATTGGCTAGACACCATTATGACCTATAAAAATGGTGATTTGATGTGATGTCTGGGGGATGGTTTATTCTTGTTTTACCTACATTATATTACATTATACTGTATTATCTGGTGTTTGGCTGATGAACCCCGAGGTTTCCTAACATTGGGGATCCCCCAGCCACCATAGAAGTTCCTTGGTTGTGGCTGTAAGTTACCAACAAATACGTTGGAAACTGACCTGTGTCAACCACAAACCAGTGCCTTGAAACCGCTCTGATGTCCCACAAAAACCTGGGGACAGTTTACAATGTGGATGCAACTTCTGCCTTGCGGTGGGGATCAAAAGTTGTCATGGCTCGCAATAGCAAAATGATGAATCCCATCCCCGTAACATCAAATACCTCCAATAAAATGAACCCCAAACTGGGGCTTATATCTATATGCAATAATGATAATGATGATGATGATGATGATATATATATATATATATTATATAATAATAATATTACCACTACTAATAATAATATTGGTACTGTAAAGCAATGGGATCTAACGTCCCCAAGCGTACCATTTATGGGCGGTATAAACTTAAACCATCAATTATATGGCTGGTTTATTGTTGCTTTACTAACATTAATTACCCCCAAATCATCCAAGTCATTAGGCCATTTTATAGTAGTACCATTTTAGTATTGAAACCTGGGGTGTTGGGAGCAACCCTCAGGAGGAGAATTCAGCCAGAGCTGGCGAGGACGCAGGCGGGCTGAAAACCGGTTGCTGCATCCTTCGAACTCCATCAGGGTACATCGTGCAACGCCATTTACCATCGTTTTTCAATTTTTTTCAACTTCCAACTTAAGAATCGTGTGCGATGCACCAGGGTAAACCATCCCCAAGTCCCCAAGCATCAACCAGGTTGGGGGTGCTGTTATCAATCTTCCCAAGCAGGGGTATACCATGGTATACCCACTTTATCCCAATGTCGCTGTACCACTATACCAATTGGGGATGGTTTGTCATTGGGGATGGCACACCCAGCACCTGTCAAAGGCGCTCAGATGCCCCATCCACTCTCTGCGGAGTGCGGGTCTCCGTGCGCTTCGGTCCAGGTTGGGAGCAATGGTGCGGAAATGTGAGCAGACACGTATATGATACCCTCTGGTAATGACTAACGTAGCTATTGAAAATGGCCATTTATAGTGAGTTTTCCCATTAAAAATGGTGATTTTCCATAGTTATGTTAGTTCACCAGAGGGTAGATATATGATTGATCGATCCGCATTATTGCTAGTTTTATCTATTGTTTTTTTTCCCTAGCAAACATGACTGATAGAACATGTGGAGGCACGTCGCTGGCCATAGATATTGTAGAAGCCAAAGGGCCAGGGATGATCGAAATCTCTACTTCATGCGGAGTGAATTTGAACCCCGGCACTTGTAAAATCAAATGTCACAAACTATGATAAACTGAGTGGCTAGTGGCTCAACAGGGCTTAACCCATGAACTGGAATTTCCAGCCTTAATCGCTACTCAACCACAGCCAACTCGTATAATGGAAATGGCTCGCTACGGTTTCACCTGGCACACGGAAATTCCCCGGTGCCAACGATCGGAACATCAGTGGAACAGGAACGTCATGGCACAACGAATTGCGGAGGTTCATCGATTTCCCATGATTTCCCATCAGGGTACCGGTAGAGAAAATCAGAGGAATCAGAGGGTAAATCAGAGCTGGGAGCACCGGCATATCCGGCATGCAGGGCTTCCAACAGGATGCAGATCCACCAGCCACGGCCAGCTTCTTGCTGGCGTTTTGGTCACTGTCTTTGAGCGAACCGGAAGATCTTGGAAGTCTCCTGGGTCCTGTCAACCGGATTGATACCCCCGATATTGCTGTGGTACCATTTATATAAGTATCAGATTATATAATGGTACTTATATAAATAATGGTTTATATAATGGTACAAATGACCATATATTATAGTTGACGCTTTTGCTGCTCATTTGATGGTTAATGGTTTCGAAGATTTGGTCGTGTCGATACTTGTAATTACTCGTGCCTTGGGGATCATCAACTAATTCTCAAGACACAGGGAGTTGGGATGTGAGTGGGACTGCGCCACAAATGGAATACAAATAGATCCAGCATCCCTGACGAAATGATACAAACCTTCGGTATCTTTGGTCACCAGATGAAGTCGTGTCAGTGTGGATTTCAGGCCCAAAGTGCAAGAAGATGGCAACCTCCCCCGGCGAAATGGAGGACTCAATTGCGTCTGAGAATGGCGGGTATCCCAACCCCCACTTTTGATGGGGAAAAGCTTGATCAATTCAGCATCAACTTTTGGGATTTTTGGGATTTTCAGCTTCCAGAATTGTTCAGAACTCCAGAGGCTTGATTTGTGGCTGGAAAAGCCATGGAAAAGCCATATGGAAACCCCCACCGGGAAACCCGCCCGGAAAAGTTCCCTGCGGGCGATTTGCTGCGATCTTTCTTGGTGGTGTCTGACCCACAGGAGACTTGTGGCCTGGATTCGTTCCTCTCCGAAACGACTGCGCAAGCTAGCCGTTTTCGGGTGTCCGAGCTGCAGGGGTTTTAAAGTGCTTGTCGACCTACTGAAGCCTCTGCATTGAACCACTTTACTACTCCCAACTGAGCTGAAACCTGGCTTGGGCGCCCAGGAAAGTCCTGGCATGGTCGAGACCGAGCAGTCCTTCCATACCGATGGGACCAGCAGAGTTGCTGCGGACTCAGCGCCATTGGATTTCACTTCCCGAACTCTGGTTTGGAAACATACTGTATTTTTGCAGGGAAACCACCTATACTTGTTGTAAACATCATGCAATGACAGACTTTATGCTGCTTGAAACAACGACAATAATAACAACATTTCGGTATTAATTTTCCGCGCGCACACCCACATATGATCACATACGTATGTATATAATTGATCTTATAATTGTATATATATATATAATTGTATATAATTGTATAATATAATATATTATACACACATATATATATACATATATACATATATATATATAGAAAGACATTATAGAGCCCGCAACTTGCCGTCAGGCCTTCAGCTCCTTCAGTCCGGAACCTTCCCCTCAGCCCAGGCTGCGCGCAGGCGATCCCAGTTGACCAGTCTTCAACGCCATCTACAAACACCATCTACAAATCATCGAAAAGTCATAAAAAAAACCCAATCTGAGGTCCAACATCATCCCAAAACCAGTGAGAATCCATCCACAACCCCCCAAAATCATCCAAAAATCTCCAGTAACCAGGCGGTCCTGGCAGCTACGCCTCAGTGGCCGCAGCTGAACTGGCGCGGCAGCACTTGGAGTGGGCTCAGGAGTTGGAACAGGTGGATGCTTGGCGTTTGAACGGTGGAGAAACGTGGTTAAAGCCATGGTGAAAGACCTCGGTTACTTTAAAACCATATTAATCACCTGATTCTCAGGATTTTGCAGGGGTTTATAGAGTCTATGGATGCGGTTGAAGCGTGGCTCTTGTGTGAAACCATGGTATTTTACATGGTTTGACTTGGCTTTTGTATGGTCCAATGCGATTTTGTACGTGGCTTATTTTTTTTTTGGGGGCAACCCAACAATCCGTAGTGGGTAACCACATGAAATCACCAAGTTATCTCAACTCAAGGACCAAAGGCAAGCCGATCTTATGATGACCCAGTGGCGCCTTGGCAGATTTGGAAGGTGTGCAATGTGTCACGGTTTCATCATCTTACTGGTGCTACATGTAGGGAATGGGTGAATGATCCATAATAACTATTCAAACACACAGAGAGAGAGAGAGAGAGAGATATACTGTATATATATATATACACATAATATATCATAATATTATAAGACTATTAACCATCATCCCATTCCCCCATTGGGACCAGTAAGTCATTACAACACGGCCAGGGTTCAATGGCTCAGAACTTGAGCTGAGCGCAGGAAGCTGATTCGCAGCCAGACTGGCATGCTCGCACAGCAGCTGATCGATGTGCGGAAGGACTGGTGAAACCTCCCGTTTGCATGTGGCGAAAAGCATCACAGAGTTGCGTTTGGATGGCTGCGGAAGATGGCATAGGAGTCTGGAGAATCGTTTTGTAGACTTATACAGTTAGTTACTACTCTATTTTTGTCCGAAAGACAGAGGGGTCAGACTGTCTGACTGATTTTCAGATTTTCTAGATGTCACGCTTCAGCAGCTCAGACTCAATCTGTTGCTTCCCTGCGCTTTGGAGTTTCTAGCGGCAAGTTCAACCAAACTCAAACCACCTGAGCTGTCCTCGAGTTGTTGAGCGCATTGCACTGCTTGAGGGTTTTGGCTCGAGATGATTTGGGAGCCATATGCACATAGTACCGTCTCGGCATTCCTTGTGCTGGCTCTTGCTTCGGCAAGTGCTCTTGGTCAGCATGACCGCATTAGACCATTTCCATCTTTGCTACTGTCCTCCCTCCACCCCGTGAGCCGCACAGGGTATGGTGGCCAGGTGCAATTGCTGGTGGCAGAACTGTCCAAAGATTGGCATGTCCAGCTGTTGGCGTGGAATTTGAGGCACAGGGGTGAAGGCCCGGCTGAAGATTTGGAAGCACTGCTGGCGCGCAAAGGTATCAGCAAAACCGAGGCCTTGACGCATGCAGCTGGGGATCCCCGCGCCTTGCTTCCAGGTGTGCCGGTAGTCACTTCGCAGATAGCACCTCCCACTGGGCACGAGGAAGGCTTGGGGTGGTTGGAGATCCTGAGAGCAGTTGATCTTTTTTCGGCCGCAGCCAAGGCTTGCAGCTCTGTTGACAGCTGTCCGTTCCAGGAGCCTGACGTCATTCTCCATTTGCACGACGCTTGGTGGCTGGGACCACCACCAGCGAACGTCAGAGATGCTGTGAGAGGCTCAAAGTTGCCGCCCATGGTGTCGTGGCTTCCAATACTCTTCGACCCTTTGCTGAGCGACGACCCGGCAAGGCCCGACCGATCTGGAGCGGCGCTGGAGCTGTTCAGTGGTGTGGTGAGCATGTCGCTGTGGGGCCGGGGGGTTTATGAACGAGCTTTGGCAAGCGTGGCAGCTGTCCTCAAAGGGGCCGCTAGCGAAGCCGCGGTCTCAACGAGTCGGTGGCTGCCACCATTGCTGGGCCACGTCCCACATGCGCTGCATCCAGCCTTTGCGGAGGGCCCCTTAGCATTCGAAAGTGTGGCCCGTAGTGGGCTGCGCAAACAGTTGCGATTGCCTGAAACAGCTTTTGTTGTTCTTCTGGTGGGGCGAAATCCACCACCCCCAAGCTCAGAAGCTAACCGGAAATCTCATCGCACAGCCATTCGAGCCTTTGCCCGCTTTCGGCAAGAAGTGGGCCAGCTGTGTGCTGGCACATCAGGTGATGGATGTGTGGGTGCTCCTGTTGCTCATTTACATGTGCATTCTGATTTGCATGGAGCCGTTGACATCGAATCTCTGCTGAAAGATGTCGGTTTGTCGCTGGAGAACGGCGCCTCTGCGAGTCGTGAGCAGTTGTCCCCAGAACTGCTGCGGAACCTCTACAGTTCCAGTGACGTTCTTTTACAACTCAGCCGTGCTGAGGGCTTCGGCCTTCCAGTGATCGAGGCCCAGGCCTGTGGAACACCAGTGATCGTCAACGGGGCCACGGCCATGGCGGAGAATGTGTTGCTGGGGAAAGTTCTGCTACCAACAGCCAGGCAGTCGCCTAGTGGAGGTCGAAGTGACCGACCTGGCAGTTGGACACCTCCAGATGGAACAGCAGCAGTGGAGGCTTTGTTGGAGATTTGGAGGGCGCCCCCCACCGCAACTGAAAGGAACAGGGTCAGAATGGCTCTTCAGAGTTTCTTTGCCCCTTCCCATGTTGCAAAGCAAATGGTTCAGGTCTTGCAGCCCCTGGTGCCCAAACGACAAGCTGCAGAAAACCGGGAGCCCCAACAGGCTGAAGTGCTGCAACGCAACAGTTTGAGCCAGGCATTTTGTGCTTTGGAGTTTCAGGAAGCTGAGCAGTGCTGGGCCAAAACAAAACCTGTCGGACCTGTCGGACCTGTCGGACCTGTCGGACCTGTCCGCTGTCAGGACTTTGAGGCGTCACTTCGAAGCTGTTTTGCTAGGGATTGGGACCAGCCAACCCTGGCGCCACGCTTGGAAGGTCAAGGCATCCATCGCCTGATCCCAACCCGTTTTGGGCAGATGCTGTACAATGTCTACGACGTCTCAGTTGGACGTACGTTGGAAATCTGTGGAGAATGGCTGGGAGGGGAGAGATCTATCTACCAGCAACTTCAACTGGGTTCGGCTCCGGTGACTGGCTGTTGGCGTCAAATGTTTCAAGTTTCAGTTTCATTTCAAGTAACAAGTACGTGTTATTGACAATTTATTGACTATGATTTTCCATAAAATGGTCCGGTGATCGGTCTATACATGTTATAAAATGCTTAATTATTCCAAAAAATATCAAAAATCACCCGAAATGCCGTTATTCTGTTCGGGCGTTTATAAGATGTCAAATATGATCTTATTTGATAAACCTGTTTTTTTTTGCCAATTTATAGGGTTTTATTTTGGCAAAAAGTGCCCGAACAATGGGCATTTATTATAGCACATTGTTGCCATTTTATAAACATGGCATTTCGGAATTGCCATTTGATAAGGAGCACCAGGGGGGAATTGTCAATTTATAAGGGAATCCTTAATCTTTATGAAATGGCAACACCCAACCTAGGGGTAATATCTAGAGGGATGATTTTCCATTATTTTCCGGTATTTATATAATTGACAGGTCGATACCACTGACAACATTTATCCACTCAATTCTGGAAATTGGATGATGGGAAAATCTGAAGGGCTTCCGTGGAAACCCTATGGTTCTTTAAAAACCATGTAAAAACCATTAAAAATCTATGGTTTCAGTTTCAGCCATCGATTTTCCATTGATTTTCCCAAAACTTCCACGGATTCTGTACCGTCAGGTGAGGGTCCTGGAGGCCGGTGCCAACATCGGTGCCACCACCATTCCTTTGGCCCTGCATTTGCCGCCTGAGGGTCGCGTGCTGGCGCTGGAGGCGTCGCAGGTGAACCTGCGACTGCTGAATGCCAATGTGGCCTTGGCGCAGCTGTCGAATGTGGACACCTTTCAGGGAGCCCTAGGCTTGGAGTTGGTGGAATCTGGAAGCACTTTGAAAAAAACTGATGCTTCCAATCCCGAAAGGATTCTGAATGTGAAATGATCTGAAGTCAGAATTGTGAGTTTCTTGCCGGTCATATAGATGAATAGCCGGATCTTTGAAGCTTAATTTTACAATTGCCAAGCCACAGGCGAAATGCCTGGATCTATCCAGCTGGAGGAGCCCATAGAGAGGGTTTTCTACAACTCTCGACACCGATCTGGGCCTGGTCAAGCTGGGGGAGCCTTAGGACGCATGAAGACTGTGCAGGTGGTGACGGTGGACCAGTTGCTGAGTCACGTTGACAGACTCTGGCTGGTGGTTTCAACATTTCTATTTTTCCATATTTTTTTCAGTTTTGGAGCCAGGCTCCCCAGATTTGGATATATTTGGGAGGAGCCTGCCCCAATTGACTCATTTTTAAGCATCTTTCGCATCACTGCGGCTGGTGCGTGGAGATCGTGGGGCTGGGCTTGGGTGCGCAAGGTGTGAACAATTGACTCATTTTTTTGGGTGGCTCAATGGCCAACCAGGAGTGGATTTCATCAGATTCAGCTCAACATCTTTCTGGAGCATTCCCGCCGCACTGCGGGGCGCGGCCAGCTCGTTGCAGCGCTTCCGGCCGTGGCTTCTGTTGGAACTGGACGACGGTCACGAAGAAATCCGGAGTGCCCTGCAAAACGGCCATTATGAGTGCAACTCGTACCTGGTGGATGGCAGGTGCCCCTAATTTCAAGATGTTTCTTGTGGGTTTCAATCTGTTTCACTTTCCATCTATCAAGAACCCACAAGCTAGTCTGTTATGCTGAGAGGTGAATGCTTGTCAGTTTTGAACACAACCCACCCATCTAGTCCAAAGAGATCCGAAGAGGACATAGTTTGCCACAGTGATATGTGTGTATCTCAATCAACTCAGCCTTTAGCAAGAAAATCATCCCACCAGTCATGGAATCATATGGAATCTCCACCAAGGCACGCGCTGCGACATACCAGTGGCTGATGCCCAGGGCCCTTCCAGCCGCTGGGGTCTTTGCGACCGCCGAGCTCAACAGATTCACAGGCTCCTGTTCTGCGGGCACCGTGCCCACACAGAGACGGTCGATGCCGGCCAATCACGATGGACGCAGGTGAGTGAAACATGTCACCAGCTTAGCCCGCACCCGGGCTGATCCTAACTGACCCAGATTTCTGCAATGAGTTGGAAGTCCCCGAGGCAGCCATCCTTGGAACATCTTGGAACCAGTAACCAGCTTCTGCAACTTGCAGCCCTTGGTGAAGTGCAGCGCTTCTTTGGACGGTGACATCTTGGGCATCGAGTTTGAAGTCGTCATTGCGCCGCTAAGGCTTTCAGAGTTGTCAGACATGGGAAAGACACGTCCCCTGGCAAGCAAGAAAACCGAATAAAACCGATGGTCGACACAGCGGACAGTTGGATGACGAAGCTCTGTTGCGGGATGTGCCAGTGCTTCATGTGAAGGGAAAGCATGGGAAATCAGGCAAAAAGGAAGGGCTGCTTGGCAGCTGGACCCAAAGGCCGAATTTCGAGTCCCAGACTGACACACGCTGGTGGGTTCATTTGGGGGCCATGACAAAGTGAAAGATTACCATAGATTCATATAGATTCCCCTTGGCAATCAAACATGGTAATGGAATCCACCAATTAGTTCGATGATTTTCCCATTTCAATACCCGGTAACCTTGGTGCATTCTGCTCCAACAATGCATCCATGAGGAGCTGGACCAGATGAAGAAGGAGCAACATGACCGATCTCGGGGGATAGCGACTCCCCAGAGCTTTGCAGATGACATTGCTATCCCAAACATTTAACCAACATTTCAATCTTCGGGTTTCATGTTAGACATGATATGACATGATATGACATGATATGACATGATTAGATGGTAGATTGTTGCTTGTATTTTCCTTCTTCGGAGTGGTTATGTTTCATCTACCCTCCGGCAATCAGCCGCGTGACCATGGAAAGAATCCCCATGATGTTCCCATTGACACCTCTGTTTAGTTCGGGGATGTTTAATTACAACAATGTGGGTAAAACAATGATAAAAACCACCCACCAAATCACCATGAATAGATGGTATAAACCATTCCCAAATGGGTGGTGTATGACATAGTTTTAATTAACCACATTATGTTGGCTGTAGTTTCTGAAAAGTGCCTGAGGCAACAGAAGTCGTCCCAGCACTTCGAGAACCAACACCTGCAAAGCCGCGAGATGCAAACTCGCCTGGGGACTATGTTGCAGCAGAGTGGCCTGGAAAATTCAGTGGGCAGTGGGGAGTGGGGAAAGATGTTTTTAAAACAGATGTGGGAGAGTACCAAATGGACGGGAAAGAAGAGTTGGAAAGTGTTAGAATCTGTTAGAAGCTCAGATTTTCTTGAACATGGATTTTTGGTGGGGTTCGTTTTCTATAGTTTTCTTCCATATCTATCCATATCTTCAATAACCTTTGGAACTAGCAAGGCAGCCTTGGATTTTTGCAGCGAGGTGTGGAAGAGACGCACATGGGCATGGCCAGGATCCGCTCTGAGGCCGATAGAGCCGATGTTTAGAGATGATAATGAGATGATCATGAATTTTAATAGATGTTCAATGGTTTTCATAGGTTTTCATAGATTTTTCATAGATTTTCATAGGTTTTCCCAGGTTTTCATAGATTTTCATGGGTTTTCCGAGGTTTTCATAAATTTTTCATAGATTTTCAATGATTTTCATAGGTTTTCCCAGGTGTTCAGTATTTCAAAAGTGAAATGGGCACAACATGCTGCGTTTCTGTTTCTTTTTTAAGCCATTGCCGTATGTCACTTTTGCAAGTCGTAGATTGCCAAAGTGGAGGAAAATCCGAGCGAGTTAGGGAAATTTGGGATGGTTAGGCCCCTGAACCCTTCATCAAACCTACGCGACATGCCTGGCCAGTGCTACGGGACATCAAATTGATGCCTTCAGTTCAACCTTCAATGATAAAAATGATCTACCCGAATCTACCCGCTAAGCAAACATGGCAATGTCCATAAAATTTAAGGTGTTCAGTTTTCGATTGGACAATTCATGAACATCCACCATCATCCACGAGAGATTTTCCATTGCTATGTTTGATTACCAGAGGGGTCCACCATGAAAGCCATCCAGTGGCAGGTCCAGCGGAGAGCGTCGCAGGAACAAGGGAAGGTCATGAAATGACGCCGGGGGTGTTTGTAAGGAGACTGCCTGCAAATATTGAAGATTATATTAAATTATATTAACATATATGACATTATATGACATATCGTTGAACATGATATGATTTTACATACGTAATTATATACACTTAGATTTGTAATAGTTTGTACATAATATCACCACGTCAATATAATTTGTTTAAATAGACGAATTAGAGGGTCCTCCCAAATTAGTGATCATCAGTGATCATTTGCTGCTAAAATATATCAAATGGTATCACCCAATTCAACAGCCCCGGGGGTTATGAATCCCGGTTGGCATTAATTACTATACGTACTTACCATGTTTTACGATTTTTTCCCATGGTTGCCATGGATTTTGTATGTTTTAGCCGGCCGTATCGTTTTGTCTGGAGAGCCTGTTGGCCACCATGTTTCCTCTGGCGAAAGTGGAGGAGTCGGAGTTCCAGCAGCGGGTCCAATCCTTGGAAAGCTGGACGACCACAACTTTCCCCAAGCTCGAGAGTGAGGCGAATCATCATGAATTTTACGAATCAACTGAGTTCAGTGGTGGATTTCTCCTGCTTTTCCTCTTATTTTCATATGATTTTCCATGATTTCTCATGTTTTTCCCATGTTTTTCCCATGAGTTTCCCATGAGTTTCCAAGTGCAGCGCCAGGTCTCCGAGCTGCGGAGCGCGGTGGAATCTGGGCGATGGGGGCCCCCATGGCTATGGTGATAACTTGTAATATCAATATGATATGATGCATAAAATAATGGTTAATAATATATTATGGCTATAGTATATATATATATATGTGTGTGTATAATATGGTGATTTGATATATATATATATAGTTAGTTAATGTTAGTTATATCACCTTAATGGTGATAATAATAACAATATATATATATATATAATGATCATTATATCATATTGGCTATTGACATTATAACATAGATGGTAATAGGGATTATGATATATATGATATAACTATGATCATATAACAGATGACCGTCATGGATCGTCAATGAATCTATCTATGGTGTTATAGATATAATATCCCTATTCATATATAACATGTTCTATAACCATGATATATTAAAATGAGATATATTAAACTGAT